TCACCTACTGAAGGACTTCTTGATTACTTCCAGATTTGGCAATTATGAATAAAGCTGCTCTAAACATTTATGTTGGTAAGTTTTCAACTCATTTTGGGAAATACCAAGAAGCACGATTGCAGGGTGATATAGTAAGTGTATGTTTAGTTTGGTAAGAAACTGCCGTGGCTGTACATATTGCATTTCCTCCAGCAATGAGTGAGAGCTCCTGTTGATACACATCCTTGTCAGCATTTGGTGCTGTGTTGTGGATTTTAACTGTTCTAATAGGTGTGTAGTGACATCTCATTGTTGTTTTAATTTGCAATTCTCTAATCATGATGTTGAGCATTTTTTCATATACTTATTTGCCATCTGTGTATCTTCTTAGTGACATGTCTGTTTAGATCTTTTGCTCATTTTTAAATTGGGTTATCTGTTTTCTTATTGAATTTTAAGAGTTCTTTATATATTTTAGATACCTGTCCTTTATCAGATACATATTTTACAAATATTTTCTCCAGCCTGTGGTTTGCCTTTTCATTCTCCTAATGATGTTTTTCACAGAGCAGACTTTTTTTGTTTGTTTGTTTGTTTTTTTGGTTTTTTTTGCGGTACGCGGGCCTCTCACTGTTGTGGCCTCTCCCGTTGCAGAGCACAGGCTCCGGACGCGCAGGCTCAGCGGCCATGGCTCACGGGCCCAGCCACTCCGTGGCATGTGGGGTTCTCCCGGACCGGGGCACGACCCCGCGTCTCCTGCATCGGCAGGCGGACTCTCAACCACTGCGCCACCAGGGAAACCCGAGCAGACGTTTTTAATTTTATGCAGTACAGCTAGTCAATCTTTTCTTTCATGTATTGTACTTTTTGTGTCATATCTAAAAACTTATTGCCAAGGTCACCTGGATTTTATTCATTGTTATTTTGTAGTTTTACGTTTTACATTTAGGTCTTTGATCCATGTTTAGTTAATTTTTGTGGAAGGTGTGAATGTCTAATTGTTCTAGTACTATTTATTGAAAAGTCTGTCCTCTTTCCTTTGAATTACCATTGCTCCTTTACCATACATATGTATGGGTGTATTTTGGACCCTCTATTTTGTTCCACTGATCTGTTTTTTTCTACCACAGTCTTGATTACTGTCACTTGATAGAGTAAATCTGTAAGTCAGATACTGTCAGTATTCTGACTTTCTTCTTCTTCAGTGTTGTATTGGTTATTCTGGGTCTTTTGCCTTTTCATATAAACTTGAGAATCATTTTGTTGCTACCCACAAAATAACTTGCTGGGATTTTAATTGAGATTATGTTGAATCTAGCATTAAAAAAATGTAACCAAGAAGTTAAAAATACATATGGTTAACTTTTAATATACAATTTTTATTAATGGTGAGAAAAGAAACAAAGGTTTTGTGAAGTCAAACTGTGACTCAGATTAGGAAATAAATAAGGAAGAAAAATCTCAATCTCTCTCTGTCTTTCTCTCATCACACACACACACACACACACACACACACACACAATCTCCATTCACCAGTCTAACCTGTGAATCACAAATCTTAAGATTTGCCCAAAAATCACACATCTTAGTAATCAAGAAGCTCTGATAGTAATGATGAAGAATATAAATATATGTATAGAGCCATATAATTTGGGGAGATTACTTTAAAACTGCAATAAGTGATTATGTAGCAATGTGATTATTAGGTGTGTGGGTTGAATATCAGGTGCTGCTACTGTATATGGATTAAGTTTGAATTGGTTTTAAAAAAGCTTATTTCTTAAAAATTCCTTTTTGTAGTTATTCTGATCGTGTTGTTTTTCTTGTTTATTTTATTGGCTGTACTTAATAGAACAATGTTAAATAATGTTAATGATAGTGGGCATTTCATTCTTATGCTTCTGTAACCACTGAAATAATTTTTGCCTTCATCCATACCTGTATTGGTTCAATTCTTCATATCCACTAGCCATCTTGGCCTATGATTCGCCACATAGGTTCTGCCTTTGCAAACACACTGCTAACCTTCCAGTGTTTTGCCCAAAGCAGCTTGGAGTCTTTTGTTGCTTTCATGATCTAATTTCCCTACTAGAAGTCCATGATTGTTAAAATTTGTACAGAAGTACAAATTTATGACTGTTAACCTAACATGAGGTATTTTTCCAGTAATTCCTCTTTTTTTTTTTAACTTCTTTATTGGAGTATAATTGCTTTACAGTGGTGTGTTTGTTTCTGCTTTATAACAGAGTGAATCAGCTATACATATACATATATCCCCATATCCCCTCCCTCTTGTCTCTCCCTCCCACCCTCCCTATCCCACCCCTCTAGGTGGTCACAAAGCACTGAGCTGATCTCCCTGTGCTATGCGGCTGCTTCCCACTAGCTATCTGTTTTATATTTGGTAGAATATATAAGTCCATGCCACTCTCACTTTGTCACAGCTTACCCTTCCCCCTCCCCATGTCCTCAAGTCCATTCTCTATGGCTGCATCTTTATTCCTATCCTGCCCCCAGGTTCTTCAGAACCTTTTTTTTTTTTTTTTAAGATTCCATATATATGTGTTAGCATACGCTATTTGTTTTTCTCTTTCTGACTTACTTCACTCTGTTTGACAGACTCTAGGTCCATCCACCTCACTACAAATAACTCAAATTTCATTTCTTTTTATGGTTGAGTAATATTCCATTGTATATATGTGCCACATCTTCTTTATCCATTCATCTGTCGATGGACACTTAGGTTGCTTCCCTGTCCTGGCTATTGTAAATAGTGCTGCAGTGAACATTGTGGTACATGACTCTTTTTGAATTATGGTTTTCTCAGGGTATATGCCCAGTAGTGGGATTACTGGGTCATATGGTAGTTCTATTTTTAGTTTTTTAAGGAACCTCCATCCAGTAATTCCTCTTTTGTCTCACGTTTTTACCTCTCATTCTGTTTCACAGGTTCAGGTTTTCCTATGTAAACTGCATCATCTTCTCAGAATGTGAAATTTCAAAATCTTCATTATCGTTCATTATCTTATTTTGTTTCTTCTCCTATTTTAACAGTGTCCTTTTATTTTCTGAAAATAACTGCCGTTATGTATTTGCTTTCTGTTTCATTTTTGTCTTCTTCTGCCTCTGAGCCTTCTCAATTACATTCATTTTTTCCAGCAACCTTAAAATGGCCCTCATTGAGGTATTATGTTATTTCCAGCTTATTGTCATATGGTTTAGCAACAAATATACACATAGATATAAAGCATTGTGTCAACATTTATCAATTGTTGAATCTAGGTGAAGGGTATATGGCATTATAGTATTCTTTTGACATTTATGTTAGAAAACATTTTCAATATAGAGAAGTTAGAAATTATTGATAATAATAATACATAGTAATTGGTTTTTTTTTTTTTTTTTTTTTTTTTTTT